GCTGGAGTGCAGTGGTGCAATCTTGGCTCACTGTAACCTCCACCTCCCGGTTTAAGTAATTCTCCTGCCTCAGCCTCCCAAGTAGCTGGGACTATAGGCAGGTGCCACCACACCAAGCTAACTTTTTATATTTTTAGCACAAATCAGATAGGGTTTCACTCCTTTAGCCAGAATGTTCTTGATCTCCTGATCTTGTGATCCGCCTTCCTTGGCTCCCAAAGTGCTGTGACTACAGGCGTGAGCCACTGCACCCGGCCCTGATATATTCTCTTTCATAGCACACTGTTCATTTGTTTAAAATGTAAATTTATAGTCCCTACTTGAAGCCATATTAAGGATATCCTATCAGCAGAGATTGGATGATCTATACTAATAAAATGAAGCTCTATTTCTTTTCTTATACAATTTAGGGGGTAGAAGACAGGAATACCTATTTCATAGAGAAGAGCAAAGTGTCTTAAGTGCCAGGTAAGACAAAGAGTGGAATGGCTCTTCTGTGAATATCCTTCTCTGAACATTATCTCCTGTTTTAGTTGCCACTTTGTCTTTCATGCTTGGGGTTGCTCTGGGTGACCCTCCATAAGATTGCCACTTCACAGGCAGCCTCACATGTCTGAATCCCAATGCTCTTGGGCACATACTAATGTTCTCTTCTGGATCAAGCTTTTTTAAAAAATTATTATTTATTTTATTTTCCCAACCATTCTCTGTCAACCAACTACTTAAAGCTTAATTGGAATGAAACTGAAGTGGGGATTACCAGTCTTGGTTGTAATTTATAACCGCCTCACTGTTCTTCCAGTATACCTGGAGAGCTTTCTAAGGTTGCTGATGCTTCAAAGACTTGCCAGTCAGTCTAGTTACAAGTAATTCTGTTTGTTCACTGAGTTTCTCATTCTCATTTCAATGTCTGCTAAAAAAAATCACTGGAAACAAGGCTATCGATTCTACTTCTTATATTGTTATGTAATACAAAGGCAAGACTGAATGCAACTATCATTTATTGTTTGCCAGGAGGGGTCAGGCATACGGTAAATGCTTTATATATGCTTTCTATTTTAATTCCCACAGCACACCTGCAATATAGGTATTATTTTCAAATTTTACATATCAGGAAAGGTGAAGCAACCTACCCAAAGACACAGTCCTGCTAAGTGGCAGAGGTAGAATCAAAATCCACATCTGTTTTCTTTGCACAGTATGAGGTTTTAAGAACACTATGTTTTAAGATAAACCTGAGTTTCACTCCAGGTTCTGCTTTTAAATAACTGTGAGCACTGGATCAATGCATTCAATTTAGCTCATTTCAGTTCAATTCTACATTTACTAAATACCTGCTTTATATAAAACTCTGTGCAAGACACCACAAGAAATAAAAGTCGAAAAGGAAATGGTGTAAGTTCTTGTCAAATTAACAATGCAGTAAAAAAAGATTAGCTATATATGCAAAATCTGTACTACAAAACAAGATATGACAAGTCCTGTAAAATATGCATAAATTGATTACAGAAATAGAGGAAAAAAGAAACGTTGCCAGAGAGGATCAGGAAAAGGAAAATTTGAGCAAGTAACTCAAGGCAAGGGAGTTTAATAGTTAATTTTATATGTCAATTTGACTGGACTAAAGAATGTCCAGATAGCTGATAAAACATAATTTCTGAGTGTGTCTATGAGGGTGTTTGTGGAAGAGATTAAAATTTGAATTGGTGAACAAGTAAAGATCTCCTTCACCAATGAGGGTGGGCAACATCCAATCCTTTAGAGGGACTAAACAGAACAGAAAGGCAGAGGAAGAGCAAATTTGCTCCCTATTTGAGCTGGGACATCCATCTTCTCCTATCCTGGAACATTGTTCTTCCCAGTTCTTGGGCCTTTGAACTAGGACTAAATCATCCTACTGGCTTTCCTGGTTGTCTAGTTAAAGGAGGCAGATCATGAGACTTCTCAGCCTCTGTAATCATGTGAGCCAGTTCTTACAGTTTCAAAAATAAGTATTTATGTGTATGTGTATGTGTGTGCGTGCGTGCGTGCGTGCGTGTTTGTGTGTCTCATATTGCTTCTATTTCTCTAGAAAATCCTGACCAACACAGCAGTTTCTCTTGGAGCTTAAGAGACAGGACTCTTGAATTAGAGTGTCCTGGACTTAAATCCTAGCTCTACAGCATTATGACTGTTAGCAAAGTGCATAACCTCTTGCGGCCTTGGTTTCTTCACTGTCAAAAAGGGATAGTAATATTTCCACCTAATGGCAGTTTTCTGTGGTTGTGAGAAGCAGATACGCTAGATACCATTTGTCAAAGCACCTAGCACAACTGCTGACACAAAGTAAGCAAACACCCAATAAAGATTAAAATTGAAGGCAAGAGAAGTAGTATTTTTGATAAGCAGCATGGAAGATGGGAGGACAGAGTCTAAGTTTCCAGGGACAAAATGAGTAAAAACACGGAAGGTTAAAAAAAAAAGGAAGAAATGAAGGAATGTGCTTGCAAAATGGAATATAATTTATGGTAGGATGTAAGTTGATTTGAAACGAGAGTAGAATGCAGAGTGTCAGGCTGCTGGTGTGAGAATAACTGAAGTGAGGTGTGACAGGTGGCTCTGATATTGGACTGCACATGGAGGCTGGGTTAACTGGCCAAAGGGGAACTGGCAGATCTTGGCAGCTCTTGAGTTATGGTCAGTAAAGGGACGGGCTAAATCTCATCTTATACTTTTGTCTTCTGTGTAACAGAAGAGAGAAATAGCTTCAGAGAGAATGAGAAAACAAACAAAAGAGAGATAAAGGTTTCTAAAAAATATATACATATACATATTTACCTATCTTCAGTTTGGTGCAAGGTAAACCTAGGTGATGAGTGTGGAGCTTGAGAAGGAAGTTTTGTTACAGCAAATCTAACAGTGGGCTGAGTGCTCAACTTCCTCTGAATTCTATAATTATATGTTCTTTATAATCCTCAAAACATATTATAAAATAGAAATTATAAGATTATTTTACCAATGAAAAAAACAAAACAAAACTGAAGTTTCAGAGGTTTTTAGTAACTTATACAAAGTCATTAAGCTACAATGTGGCTAAGCAAGAATTCACATCTAGGCCTAATTTCAACAACCACGATTTTATCTAGTGTATGGTACTGTCTCTCTCAAAAACAATCAATCCAATTAAGTTAAATACATTGTAACATTTTAGTATATCATGGTAAGAAAAATGTAGATAATGATACAAGTGATACCTTCAGTAAATTATAAATTACTGTAAAATGACTTTGTTTTACTAGTCGTAGTTTTGCTAATAAGTATTCATCCCTAATAGACAGTTCACACTTAAGAAATCCATTTGATGATCAGTTCATTTATTATAGATCCCTAACATAGTTATTATGCAGCTCTGTAAGGATCTGAACTAGGAGGACCCTATTCACAAAGTTGGAGTTTATACCAAGAGAAGATCATAGAATTGAAGACACTTGATCTGTACATATAAGAAAATAATCAGTCTTTTTTAACCTGAGAGAACTGGAAATTCTGCTGTTTGAAAGGGTTCCTTGGCAATTCAGATATTACCTCAGTATTACAGAGGAGGAGAGGTTTCTGAGGTCCTTTTCAGAAGCACATAGAGTAAGTGTTGGAACTGAGATTTAAATCTGAAAATGTTTTATTTCCATCCTAGAACTAGAGACTGATGATGAAGAGTTGACAAGATTTGATCGTTGTCTTCAAATAAAACACAATCCAGTTGAGTCAGGTATGTGAACACACACATACACACACACAAACACACACAGGAAAAGAAACAGAAGATGGAACAACTGATCTCATTTGGGTAAGGCTATTATATGAGCTTAAGAAAATTCAGTAGGATTTTAGTCAGACAAAAGAAAGGAGAAGAAGGCATTTTAGACCAAAATAACAGTGTTGTCAAGGCATGCTGTTACTTATTGGTGTGTATTGAGAACGGGGGCATTCCATTTGTCTATAGCATAGGACATGAGGAGATGAAGGGCAGAAGAGGGGCAACATTGGGAACAAACTGAAATTTCAAAGTAAAGATTTTGAATTTTATTTTGGTGATGAGTAGGAAAAAATTAAGGGACAGAAGTAGATGGATTCGAAAATTCTTAAACTGTATGTCTGTATAGGAGGCATAGTGTAAAACTCAACAGGCATATGAGATACAGAAATATGCTGATTCTCCTTTTCTATTTCCAAGACTGACACAAATAAAAGTAAAGCCATCATACAAGAGTGGATTAGTGAAAACATCACTGCTTACCAAAACATGTAGAACAAGGAAGGAAGAGGATATTTTAGTTTGTGATTGTAATAGAATAGCTGTGAAACAGTTTGATTTTCTAGTCTAACAACTTTATAAAGCCACAGCAATGACTACTTTTATCTTCCCCATCAAAGATGATGCACTTTTAATGCTCAAACTATGGCCAAGGTCTTGGTCCACTTCCAAGTGAAGAAACAGAACTAATGGATTTGAGCCCATGCAGTGACTATCGTAAGAAACTTTCCAAGGTGAAGTGATCCTTATTATAACAAAAAGAAAACTATGATAACTAGTCATAAAAAATTATAATATGTAAGTGGTAACCTAAAAGGTACTTATATTGATAATGGTTGATACATACATGTAGCATTCTTGGGGTAGCTCCTGGAATATATTCAAACACTCAAAAATATGTGTGTCCTCTAGTTTCAAAGAGCTCTTGTACACACTGCAGTAATATCACTTGAGCACTAATAGGATTGGAAGTGTATGTAGTATGTCCTTGAAAGATTGCCTGCTACTCCAGTGACTTTCAGTTGAAAGTATGAAGATAGGAAAACAAATATAGAAAAAGTCAGAGAAATAATGCAATTAAACTAGAGGATCAACAAATAATAATTCTAACCAGATAATAGACTTCCTGGATTGAAGACTAGTCAGGTTAGAATAGCTTAATTTTTGAATTAGTAACCAATACACATGAAAGGTTGAATATACTATAGAGCAATGAATCCAGAAATCATAAAGAAATGTTTATAGTCTGTATAGGACCATCGTTTTTTATCTTTGCTGTATCAAACTCTACCCGTCTTTTTTTTTTCAAGAAGATAGTTAATGCGTCCAAAAGTTATTCCCTAGCATAAAACCCTGTCTTCAATGCCATCCAATCCAAGTGAGGAAAAGGAGGGGTGGGTTAGAGGAAAGAGTCTTAATAAGGAGAAAATCAGCATATTCCTGCCATATTTTCTATAAACTGATATTGGTCAAACTTTGGAAATGATGTCTTAAAGTTGTGGATTCTGGTACCTCACCCGGTTCTTGATTAAAACATAACATTTTAAGTATCTAAATGTCTTTTCACCAACTGCACTAAGTTCTGTAATACTAGGGACACTATTTAACCACCTCAGCACTCCTGGTAAGAAAGCAGCTATACTGGCTTGTCTCTTCTTGGGAGATGGTTTTTTTTCCATTCTGAATCTCCACAAAATTTCCCTCACTCTTCTACCTTAAATTTCCTAGCATTAAAATAAAGTATAGCATCTGTGCAAAATGGATATTTATAAGATTCATACCCTTCTTCTTAATGTCACTTCACTGGATATAACAATAAGCTTCTGTTTCTTCTTTAAAAAATATGTTGAGAATAATAGTAACAGCAACCATGTATTAAGTGCTTACCTTGAGCCAGGCATTACTTTTGCATATCCATTTATTCCTCACAGAAGTTCTCTGGGGTACTATGATCATTCTCATGTAACAGCTGGGGAATCAGGTAAAGGTATGAGTAACTGTCCCATGATTTTACAGCTATTCCTAATTGGCTGGGATTTAGTCCAATATCATTAGATGTCAAAGACCCTTCTTTTAACTAGTGATTCCCAAATTTCTGTCCCTTTGAACATTAATTCCTTAGGTTGCTCCACAAAAAACTAAGTGATCTAGGACCAAATAAATTTAATAAACACTGCATATTATGTTTTTCCCTCGGAGATTTAAAATGCATATTGGGGTAATAAAAGTTCTAAAATGGCATACAGTCAAAAAACGAGTTTAATTTTGATTAGCTATAAATTTTCCTAACTTATTTGAGCATGGAAACTCGTATATTCTCTGTAAATTATCTTATATATCACCACTTTGGAAAATATTGCCATACTTTTTTCTCTTGAGTTAATAAGTCTCTTTGGCTTCCCATTGACTACTTTTAAAAAATCTGCACATAAGACTTGCTGAATTACTCTACCTTCTAAAGCCTATCTTAATGCAAGTGGTGCCACCCATGTTTGACCAGAAAGCTCCTATTCATAGAGGAATAAAGCTGTAACTAAACAGTAATCTTCTCTCTTTATACTCCTCCCTTTCATTATCATCTCCTCTCCATCCTCTGTCTTGGACCTTACTAATTTTGACTTGATCTTGAAGTTATAGCTAAGACACAGTCTGTACCAGAAGGCCTCCCAGAAACACAATACCCTTCAGGCTGAATAAGAATGTTATCTCCTATAGTACTAGTGTACATAGCTCAGAATGGCATGTGGCTTTTTCTTTCTTTCTTTCTTTCTTTCTTTCTTTCTTTCTTTCTTTCTTTCTTTCTTTCTTTCTTTCTTTCTTTCTTTCTCTCTCTCTCTCTTTCTTTCTTTTCTTTCTTTTCTTTCTTTTCTTTCTTTTCTTTCTTTTCTTTCTTTCTTTCTTTCTTTCTTTCTTTCTTTCTTTCTTTCTTTCTTTCTTTC